AATATATTTCTAGATAGTGTGTATGGAAATTTTCAGACGAATTCAACGCTTTGGTGGCGAATCACAAAAGTTTTAGTTTGTGCGGAGTTTAATTTATTCTACTTTTAGATCGTAAACAAAAACTTCGAAATTGGATAAATCATTCTTTCAACTCCGTAAGAACGTACTTAAGGTGATTTTTCTTTGAAATAAAGCCATAATTGAACAAAATTTACAAAGGAAATCAAGGAAACCAGAGTTTTTGAAGTCAATTTGAAACCAGCCGCCATCTTGGATGATCAAAGTTATCATCCAAGATGGCGTCCCCATACAAATTAACCAAATATTTCAAATCTTTATTCGCTGATATCTTCATCGGAAAGTAAGCTGCCAGCCGTAAAGCTCGTATTCTAGATAATCTGACTATGCTCTTTGTGACTCGCTACTTGGTTTTTGAAAATAACGACTAATAAATTTTCACTTTGGGGGTTGCACACCAAGAATTCAAGGACTTTTCAAGGAAAATGTGCAATCAAGGACTTTTCAAGGACCTAGCTCAAAAATCAAGGACTTTTCAAGACTGTACGAACCCTGAGCATTATTATAATTATGCGCTTGTACTTTTCTAACATATTGTGACCCTCTAACTCCCTGGTGTAAAAATTTGTAGTGTTGTTACAAAGGTTGATTTACAGGGTACGATTTGTCGCGCGCGACTTGTAGTATACGATTTTCCTACTACAAGTCGTAGGATTTTAAGCAGTGGTTCAAAATCCTACTACAAGTCGTAGGTTGCGTACGACTGTTGTAGACAAGTCGTAGGGGCATTTACACTGCGCGACTCAAGTCGTATACTACAAATCGCACGAGACAATCGTGCCGTGTAAATCAGCCTTAAGAACCCATGCAACATCCACTCCTAACATTTATGGTAGTCTGGTAAGTAACAGCAGTCAAAACCTGTTTTATAAAAGTCAAAGTCATTTTGTATTATTTTTTTAGTCCTTAACACTATTTCACAGGGTGGTTTAATAATAACGTTTATTGTAAAGACAAGCAAGGAGAAAGAAATTGCGTAAAAATATAACAGAGTCTCGTGAACCATCATTTGCAGCGTGCACTAAATAGGTATGTAATTTTTCAAAAAATGATCATGAAAAAAAAGGGACCTCTAAACCCTGCCCTGTTCCAGAGTGAAATCGCTGAAAACTATACCATGTTCCAGACTAAAATCGCTGAAAACGATACCCTGGTTGGCTTCACGTTCCGTATAGCGAATATAGGGGAGTACACCCCTCCCCCCGGGACAATCACTTGTAACCAAAAGTACTCATTCTAATTCTTCTTGCAGATTGAGGTGCTAAGCTTTGTTAATGGGTGAACCCAGGGACGTTTATTAATGGTCAAGGACATTTGTCACTCAGATTGTAAGTACTTTATCAAACCATTAATAATTCATAAAAACAATGGAAAATCATTGCCGTGAGAACACATCTTTATTTGAGCGAGAGATTTGTCCTGATTTGCATACGACTTTAATCTCGATTTTCTCTTACAAATGATATATTATCTTGAAGTTTTTTTGCGAAATATGCTTTAGCTTATGTTGATAAGCAATATAACATATTTGCATCCTACCTTTATGGGCTCGCTTGCAGCTTGCAGGTTATATGCCTTTTAAAAACTCATTGCACGCTCGGCGGTTGTTTAGCTTTGATATAAAGGTAAGGCTACCTTTTAAGATGGCGCAGATAACCGTGAAGGAGACTATTATAGGGGCTGGGATAGATTTTTTGATATAATACATACAATACATGGTCATTTAACTGCATTGAATTAAAGAACCTTGAACCCCATGTTACCATCTGTTGGAAATTTATCTAAACATGAATGAAAATATGGTTGATTACATGGCAAGAAAGAGCCTGGCTTATATCTTTCCCAGCTACTGTTCATGTTACCATATTGCAACCAGCTTTGACTATGTTTCAGTACATCTGGTCCATATCGGTTCCTTGCATAAAGACCAGGAAAATGAACGCAATTTATCCAATGGCCATTAACTCTGCATTTTGTGTAGAGTGATAATTTGTTCAATGCAGGTGGGGCAAATCTTTGAGCTGACGTATCAGGGAAGCCCCATACTTCTGTATAAATATCAGGACTATAATAACGAAAGTAGCCAAACTTTTTAAGTTTTCCATCACTAGTAAAAGTAACAGGTTCGTAACCAGCAAGTTTAAATCCATGTCGTGATACATATCCTTCATTTTTATGCAAAAAGGACATGTTGTATGCCAACACAATTATATCTCCATCAAGGTCAAAAGGACTGTAGTTGTTGAACTTGACAGCTGCCAAGWTGGAGCCGGCATCAAGTTCATAGTGTATATTATTGTCCATACTCATGTCATTTAAAAACTTCATTGCTTTTCCAAACTGCTCCAAACAGCACATTGGTAGGGCRACGTGTTTTGTTACTCCAACGTTACACTTGTAGGAAATCTCTCCACACGAGAACTTGTGCCTCACACCATAATCAACCAGCACAACTCGAACCAACTTCAAGTCTGTTGCAAGAGGCTGCCATATTGCTTTGCTGTTTTGTTTAGTTTCTGTAGAGTAGTCTGTTGTGTAATACATTGCATCAGGGCAGTTCATTATCAAGTTTCCAGTTCGAAAAACCCGAAGAAAGAATTCTTCAAACAAGATTTCTTTGCTATACTTTTCACTGAATTTGAGGTTTTTCAGAAGATCAGTTCGGACAACAAATGGCCCTTCCAAGTCATCACAAAACATGCATGARTGTCTTGAGTAGTGGTARCCTTCTTCATACTGTAATACATAGTTAAATAGTTTAGTTTGTCGACATCCAACTCGCCAATGTCCAGTAAGATTACGGAATGATCCTCCGACTATTGCAACATGGTCTGTTGTACTTATCATGCGAATTTGTCGTTCAACACGTGTAACCCAAGTAAAATGAACAACATCACGTGCAACAAGTGTGTAGGGAGTTGACACTTCATTGATAAGCTGGTTCCACACTTTTCCTGATGAACTTCCCTCAGTGACAGCAATGGTTTTGATGTTGGGGTATTTTTTTGCAGTCTCTTTTATTTGACTAGTTTTGGCTGCTAAAAACACTTTGACTCTTGAATTGGATAGGTTTGATTGATTCCTTTTAAGACTGTGTCAACTTGTTTTTCCATAGGTTCAGGATATTGCATTGTGTTCACAAGAATACTGACCACCTTAAAAAGTAAAACAAAACAAAATTCACTACTACGATATCATTAGCGATTTAGCCTCAAAGCCACTAACTGTAGTTTGAAACTTGTCAAAAACAGTGAAAAAGGAAAAAATACTTTACATACTCTGTTACGTTAACTACATGTATAAAATAAAGCAACAGTCACTGACTAAAAGAAACTATTAGAAGAAAACTGAGAAGAAAAAAACTAAAAAACATTCAAAACAAAACCACACAAAAGAAACAGTTGTGTAAAAAGATAAATTTTAACACCTCAAAGTAGGTGAAACAACTATCTTTCAATTCTACACTGTAGTTTACCGCTAGTTTCCACCATTTTCATACAAAACAAACCTTGTCAAGCCGTTTCACATTGGCACAGTTTTGCATCACCCATCCTTTTTCATAAAATGGATAACCAAATTTCTCCCCCATGTATTTCTCAGGGCAAACATCTARCAATACAGARCCATTTGTGGTCTTTGGTTCAACAGGTTCTTTATCATCTTGACTGAGTCTGTRTGCTGGATCAAGTTCACCTATTATTCCTTTGAGTTCAAGGAGTAGTTTTGGTGTTGGTGGCAWCTTGTGACCAGCAGCTGATTTAAGTTCCTGGTAAATCACAGCTAATTTCCTGGAAATGTMTTTCTTGGTGCCACTGTACGTGGGTGGTAAAACACAATTTTCCAGATATGGACATGCTCTTCTTAAAATTTTATCATGGACTTTATATTCAGAGGACAGGTAGAGCATGAATACACCGGAAGAAATTAGACATAAGCTCACAAAGATGCTTCTATAATTATTTATAAAAGCTGACATCATTCAAGGGAAGTACTATCCTGGAAAAAAAAATTAAAAGATTGATGTTCAAAATACTTTATAGATTAATTTAACACGACACAATGAAGATATAGTGAAAAACATATATGATGCCAATGAAGATTATGATTGTCTTGACAAGACATAATACCTTCATTCGCGTGCCATCTCAGAAAATGTAATTCATTGATACAWGATAGATATCAAAACTARATAAATTGAAGTTCTAATTTAGGATAAATAATAACAGGTCCACATTTCATGCTAGTGTGTCATTATGCAATAGGGCAATTATATATTTGATATGTTATGTGGAACTTAGCTAGCTGATAATGATAATCCAGGATCCTCTAGTTTAAATTGCATATCTCCTGGGCTTCTGGGTATAGACCCGAATCTTCTTGATATTTCAATATTTTAATTACTCAAATCACAAACATCCATTAGGTAACAAAACATCACCAAAACATTATCCAAACTGCATTTCAAAAATGGCAAAACAGTTTTCATGCTATTGTCATATTTTTATCCATGTAATATCCTGTCTTTCTCAATTTTCACAAGCAGCTAGTCCGACTTCACGCTCCCAGAGCGTCTAGTCTGATATTATAACACT